CTGCTCGCCTGTAGCTCCTCAAGTCTGTAACACTGGAAACTCACTGTCACTTCCCCACGACGAAGGTGATACTCATTGTTAAAGGTCGCCATGACATTCCACTGTGTAATGTATTAACCCGAAACAGTCAAACGTACACTTGCCAAGTTTTGTAACGCCCCTTGTCACACGGCGTCTCAGTTCAGACTGGCGAGGACTGGTGTGAGCTCTGCAGATGCTGCTGTTGTAGACTGACCTCTGAAGCCCTTGCCTCACAAAGCTCTTGCCTTCCCTTCTCCTCGCCTCCCGCACTAACTCAAGAGGGGCCGTGTGGTTGATGCCAGCAGGCTACCCTACGATTGTGCTGGTTTTGTTATGGGATGGAGAAGTTCGTTGGGAGAGGCTGGGAGATCTCTTAGGTTAATTGCCGCAAAGCGCTAATCATAGGCGATGGCACAGTGAATCAACCGGCAAAATTTCTATTTGTGTGCTACTTTAATTTTAAATTAACTTCAGTAACACTTGTAGTCTCTTACACCAGCCGCACATGTTCCGTCTTGCTCGCCATTTTGCCTGCGCTCTGACTTATTTTCATTTAGCACAGCAATTACTGATACACCCTGATTATTTCTGCGACCGTGTCCCCATAAACGCCTCGTCTTATCCTCAGCGTTATGACTGCGAAGACAAAATGACGAGCAAGAAACAGTAAGCATGGCTGACCCTAATTACCTATGCTTTCGTAAAATCACATAGCGATTATTGTGAAATAAAGAGGGTACAGAAAAAGCAGGCATGTTCTATTTTAAATCCAATTACGCCCCAGTTAGTAAGGGAACTGGTTACTAACTGCAGGGTCCAGGCGCGAATTCCGCCAGGGACAGAACGTATCTCCGTCCCATATGACCCAATTGGGACCCACTTTTCGCGGACCTAAAGAAGTCGGAACTTGAAGCTCACCACTCCATTTAATACCGAGGTCTAAAATGCGTCACACCCCTCCATGATGAGGTGGTAGACATATGGCCAACTTTGGATTTCACTTTTTAGAATATTAATCCACGATATAAGTTATGTATATAGCAATTTTTTAATATAAATTTTAAAATTTGTTAGTCAAAATTTTCTCCTTGAATACGAAAATCCATTCAGAAAGGAAGACCGTGCGTAGAACAGCTTCTGTGTGAAACGTGAACTGAGAAAATAATTTAATTTAATTTGGGAACACACTTCCCTTTCTTGAGTTTCGATAATTCGAAACTACATATGATTTTCGATGTATTACAAAATGAACGTAAGGACGCCAGATGTATTATTGATGAATATGTCTATATTATAAAGTTAGACAAAAACTATATAGTTAGGAGTAAACAAAGGGGCCGCGCCATAGCTCAAGTGGGTAGTCGCTGGCTTCCCACCGCGGCGGCCCAGGTTCGATCCTGAGTCTGGTCAAGTGGGATTTGTAGTGGACAAAGTGGCGCTGGGGCAGGTT